TAAAACTTCTCTTTTTGTTATAATTAAAAATTAAAACTCTTTTTGTTATAATTAATATTAAGATTTCTTTTATGTTACAATGAAAAAACTTTTTAAAAAAAAATTTAATCAAAAAACTTAAGTCTTTTTCAAATAAATAAAAAAAAAACTTGATTTTCTAGTTAAAAATTCAATTCTAACTCTTTCTTTAAAAAATTAGTTTTTTATAAAATTAAAATCCACTCTTTTTTCAAAAATTAAAATTAACTTCCTTCTTATTTAAAATAAAACTTACAACACCTCATTTCTTTTTAAATTAAAATTTATCTTTCATGTAATTAAAATTCTAATTGTTTCTTTAAGTTAAAATTTCTAACACTCTTTTTTAAATTAATATCCTATCACTTTAATTTCTTTTTCATATCATAAATTTCTAACTTTTTATTAAAAATCTAATTGTTTAACTCAAACTTTTTCTTAATAAATTTCTAACATTTCTAACATTGTTTATTTTTAAATTTCTAACATTTCACACTTTCATTCCAATTTTCTAACTAAAAAATACTAAAATAAAAATGCTTAATATTCCCGTTTAATTTTCATCTTTTGTCCTTGGGTATTAATCTAGTACTTTTCACATTTTATTTTCTTTGGGTTGTAATTATGCAAGGCCATCGTCGCAATTATTGTTCTTGTTTATTGTTTCGGTTGTAATTTATGTGAGGATATCGTCGCAGTTATTTATTTTTCACATTTTTTGGGATTTGTAATTTACGCGAGTGATCGTCGCGATGCTTTCGTTTACCGCTTTATTTATTTATTCTTTTTTCGTACTTTAATTACGTTTCATGATAATATTCGTTGTTTGCATATTTTTTTCTTCCGTTGTTTATCGCCCTCTGAAGGAATTAGGTCTAGCAGTTTGACCGCCGAGTCAATAACCCTAATTTTGACCGTTTTAAAACCCTAATAGCCTAGGTGTCCCGCCGTGGACAAAAATACCATTTACCCTATCTTTAGGTCAAAGAGTCGTCGTACTCTGTTTAGGGTTTCCCGCCGTGGAATCCCTAATTTAACCCTAAATTTCAATAACAAATTCAACGTAGAAATAGGAGTTTCAAAACTCCACGTAAGTGTGCCCTTAAGATACGTTTACTCCCCTTGAAACCTTGACCACAGTCAAGAAGTTTCTAACCTCCCTTTCGAGGGGAACTACGATTACTCTGTTCGTTCCCTATCCAGGATACGTAGGCACAAGATGTGAATCTTGCCGAGTAAACTTAGGACTAACCCTTAGGTCTTTAGGTCACTCTATCCCTTAGCTAAATATATATTAAAATAGATAATAAAATAAAAAAGGCATACAATAAATAAAAGGTTCCTGTAGAGTACTACAGAAGTTTAGGGTGCTAGTACCTTCCCTAAGCTTAACCAACCCCTTACCTAGGTCTCTCCCCGCATTGTGTTTACGATGCAAAAATAGGTTTTCCCTCTTTTGACCTTTTCCTTCGGATAAATCAAAGAGCGGTTGTGAATTAAGAATTGTGATTCAAACTAATTAATAGTTTGATATCCTATTTCCACCACAACAAAGGGCGTATTCAGGGGTTCTTCAGCTACCCAGTCCTCGACTGACCGGGTTCGCACTTCGACAGCCGGAGCCTCTGGCTCCACGTCTACGTCCATGGTCCCCGGGACCCACGAAGTCATGTTCACCTGAAAAGCATAAGGAAATGGTGAATTCGACGTTCAAAGATCAAATTCACCCTTCCACCGCATGTCAATTGAAAGGGCGACGGGGACAACGACCACGTCGGCGTAGCGACCACCCTGCATCCCTCCTCGGGGGATTCATCCAATCCCCATCAGCGTCCCCGGGGCATGCATATAGCCCTACCGTACATCCTCGGGATACCCATCTAAAACTATCATGTATCCCTAGGACCCTCATCCTCAATAGCTCGATCGTCCCCGAGACATTCACGCTACAAACCTAAAATGTCCTCGGGGCCTTCATCATAAACCTAAGGATATGTCGCCGTTGCGACGGGAGACCCTTGCCCTCCTCGGGGCATTCATCATGCCCCCGACGCCAGCATCAAGGATAAAGAAAGTAAAAGATTAGAGGAAAGGAACTTACTGGAGTGGATGTAACGGCGGAGTACGCGGCGGATTCTACAACAGTGCTGTCGAACAAATGCAAGAGCAGAACTCGATCGTCACGTGCGTGGGTGAGTGAAAGCGAAAATGGCAAATGGGCGGGGTCCCACCTATTTATATATCCAGCGTGGGGCTCGAAACGCCCCTAGGCACTCGAGTACCCTAGGATAGCCGCCCCACGTGGCCCATTGACAGTTGTGCACGCGGCCCTGCAAACAGTCATGTCCCTTCATTTCCCCCACGTGTACAGACGGGCGAGGATGCGCCAACCTTCCACCTCCTCGACCTGATTGCCCAACAAGACCGAGATTCCCGTGCTCCAGTATCCTCGACAAGTCAGACCGACCAAGTTTCCTCCTCGCGCTCTTTACCCTCGACACGGCAGTCCCGCGAAGGACCCTCCTCGCGCATTCTTTCTCCCCGATGCACTACCATCAAGTCCTCGCTCCTTCACTTTGGAGCTACGACTTGGGGGGCTCCTGTTCTAGACTGGGCCCAGGCCTGCCCATCCGTCGGGCAGGCCCAACCCAACGTTATTTGAGGAAGGCCCAAATTACCCAGTGTCGGGCACAGGTTCTCCCATTGACTAGACAGCTCCCTCGTCGAGCAGGAGAGTCCCTCCGTCGGGCAGGACAACACGTCTTCCATATGTTCTCCACATCCCCCCTCCGCGGAGACACGCCATCAGCCAACTACCCACCTCCGAAAGCTGGTCAGCCCACCTTCCGGAGATCACAGGACGATTGAAATAGGGCGAAGACCACGTGCTGGTCTTCACTAAGTCACGTAAGCCCTAACAGCCACCTGGGTTGGGCCTGGCAATCCAGTCCGCAATCCAGTCCAACGCAAGTGACCGTTGGCCCTGCGTTGTGGTCTCTCTATAAATACCCTCTTTCACTAGAGGGTCAGATATTCACTTCTTAACCTCTCTTCTGTATTTGCTCCCACTCTGTTCCATTACTTACTTTGGCATCAGATTGTCTTGCAGGTACACCCCCCTCCTCGTCCATATTCCTTGTGAGCAGCTTGCAGATCAACGACGCGTGGCAGGTCATTGGTCCCCTTCTGATCAGGTCACTATATATATATATATATATATATATATATATATATATATATATATATATATATATATATATATATATATATATATATATATATATATATATATATATATATATATATATATATATATATATATATATATATATATATATATATATATATATATATATATATATATATATATATATATATATATATATATATATATATATATATATATATATATATATATATATATATATATATATATATATATATATATATATATATATATATATATATATATATATATATATATATATATATATATATATATATATATATATATATATATATATATATATATATATATATATATATATCCTATTAAAAAATGATTTTAAAAGAATGAATTTAGGGAGATTTTGAAGAATAATATAGAAGATTTTTTCTATTTTTCTCTACTTTATTAGGCATTATTTTTATTTATTAAATATAAATTATATAATTAATTTAGAAATAGTGTTTATAATTCTCAAGTTAGGAGAATTAATGAAATCAACAAAAGTGAAGAAAATTCATAATATTATTACAGTTTTATTATAAAATATTTGACAATAAACTTATTTTTATTATTATTTTAGATTAATATAACTAAATTCAAAATTACAATATTATTATTTCCCGTATTTTATTAAATTTTATTATAAAGTTAAGAAAAAAAAATTATATTTTACGAAAGAATGAGTTAACCAGATCAATAATTGTAGTTATTTGAATTACTTTTACTTTTATGTCCTCGTAAATGACTTTATAAAATATTCCTACTTCATGTATGATTTACTGTTTCTTTTATTCATTGAATTTTGTTATCAATATATTCATACTAAATAGCAAAACTCATAAAACTTATATAATAATTTATATATTTTGATAGATATCTTCAATTTTTCATATATATATTAATATTAAAATTATTTTGCCTATTGTTATTAATACATTTTATTTTTATCGAATAAAATTTAATTTTATAATATAATAAAATAATTAAATCACAAATTTTTTAATTAAAAATATTTTTTTATGTCATTTTATAATTATGAGTTAGTGTAATAGCTAATTTATCAAACACTTAAATTAACTTATCAACTACTTGTCATCAGCTATAAGCTATACGCTATCGACTATCAGCTAATAATTATAAGCTAGTTTTACCAAACAAAGTCTAGCTAGTTGTGAAAATGAATGTAAAAGAATACTCCCTGTCTCAAAATATAAGAGAAAAAATAAAAAATATATTTATTAAAAATAAATAAAAATATAATAATTTGATTGGTGGTTTTTTTGAAATAAATTGTTTAAAAAAATGTAAAAAACAATTTTAATTAGTTGTTGGTAAGAAAAAAGTTGAGACAGAAGATAAATTAAATGCAATTTGTATTTAATTTTACCTTAAATTGATTTTTTATTTTATTTTAGAATAAAATAAATGTATTTTTTTCTCTTATACTTGAGACAGAGGGATTACTGTCTCGCTCTGTCAGCAAAGAATACATGACTTATATATGAGCCTGTGAAAAGGATAAAGTATTGGACATACTAAAAGTCCTACTGAATTCATCTGAGTTTTATTTCTTTATTCATCTTTGCTGAAGACTAAATAGTTTCCCATCTTAAATTAAACTAGTACATATTTATTTCAAATTTTGGTGAATCTAAATAGTAAAGTACAACTTCCAATCTGCACTTTTATTAACACACCTTTAAATTTTTAACATTACCAAAATCAACAACGGCAGCTTAACTTCATCAGTGCACTATTTTGTATCCGCCAACTGTGTTTTGATGATAGCCGCGCTCACTTCTTCGATATGTGGAAATAAGTGTCCAGCACCTGGCAATTCATGGTACTGAATCCATGGAAGTTTTTGAACAATATATCGTTGCAGCGTAACAGGGACCAGCCGATCATCAGTACCTTGCCATAGATGAACTTGGGTTGTATTATCTGAGAAAGGGTTATAAAGATCAAGTGGATCAAAATCCCAAGTTCCAAAACCAATTATGGCGTCGCGACATATAGATTCGTGCTCACCTTGTTGTTTCACCTGTGACTGCATTAAAGTTTTACAAACAGTATGACAGGAGTAAATATCTATAATGCTAGGTCAAAGACTAAAAATAAAAATGTATATCATCATATTCATACTTGATGTTCTTTTTTAACAGAGTTGGAAACAATGGACAAATCTTGGGAGGAAAGAACAGCAGGATTGGCTTGTACTACACTTGAAGTAGGAAACCAGTTTTGAGTAAACCACCAGTGTGTAAGCCATGGAACATAATGAGCGACTCGAACTGTCCATTGATCTTGTGGAAGTTGCTCATAATAGGCCTTTACGGACATGTTGTAAGGAAGTCCATGCCACCAGTAGTTTATCACAGGAGTCAACAATGTAGCCCCAGCAAGTCTGTTATCATTTCATAAGATAAGATGAAGACTTGTCAAAGTCTCAACTCACATAAAATTTCATGCATCTTAATTTGTCAAATGTTTATAAAGGTCTTATGTATTTTCTTATCCCTAAAAAAATCTTTTAAAATCTCTTAAAATTTGAACCTAATACACCTCTTAAATTCCTCATACCAAATTTGCTTCCTAACTTTCTCTGGTTAGTGAAATTTTAATAAATGGTTGTTGTGTGGTCTATTAGGGTAAGGAGTGAGCATTAATTGTTTTACCAACCTGTGAGGAATGAATCTGAGGCAACCCCAAACAGCTTGTCCCCCCATAGAAAATCCCATCACATAAAACTTGGAACCCAATTCCAGCTTATCTGCAAGTTCCTCAATATCAAGAGCCAAACTCTTTGGACTTCTTTTTGGATCAGCATCACTCTCTCCATAGCCTGGTCTATCAAATGACACAATATATGCTCCTAATTCCTCAAGCAACCCCTGACCAAATTAATTAATAATCAATCAATAAATCGAACGAAAAATGAACCAAACCAAGTTGAATATGTATGTAATTTACGGATGGAAGGTTTGTTGCTATGACTGTATCATGTCTGCAAGATCCAAAACCATGTATGAATACAATCTTGTTGTTGGCTGATTGTCTTGGAACACCATATTCTTTGTAAGCCAAATGTCTTCCATCTCTCAGCTTTATCCTTGCTGCTGTTATGGGTGGACCACCTGGGGAACCGCATGTTCTTGGGGGTGGAGGTTTAATGGCCTGGTAGGCTAAGGCCAAAATTCCAATCAACAAAATTGATGCAATTCTGCTCAACATTTTCTCTCTCCAACAAACATAGACGGACTCAAGTCTATACATATACTCTCATTCACACAATAATACACAAACAGTTTATTCAGTAAAAAAACATTTTAATTTCCAACATAATATTCTCTTTTCCAATCTAATTAATATTATGAATAGCATTTGTTTATCAAAAAAAAATTAAAAAAAAAAATTATTATTATTATTATTATTTTGGCATTCATAATATTAAATTCAACGTATTTTTTTATCTAAATGATCCAAGGGTTAATAAAGTAAATTTAATAAAACTAGAGAGAGAGAGATATTTATTCATTTAAAAAGGTGGTATTGTGTAGTTTATTAGTTATCAGTTTATTGTCTTTTTGTATATTTTTATTTTTTTTAATAAAATTAAACAAAACAATTAAATGAATGATGAATTTATTTACACATATATTGTTCAAAACGTCAATAATGATACGAGAATTTAACCTGCCACCTCTATTTTATATCTCGCACTTCTCATATTTTCAATATTTCAAAAATATCCCTATTAATATTTACCTAAAAATTTTACCATTTTGTCCAAAAAAAAATTCACTGTTTTTTATCTAAGATTTCAAAATTTTCGATAGTTTGAAATTTCCGGTACATTAATCTATGCAAATTTTGAAAATTTTCGTCTATTCCCTATAAATTTTCGGTAATAAATTTCAGAAGATCTGGTATATATTACCGAAAATTTGTAAATATCTGTTTTTTTATACCAAAAATTTGAAAATATCTGGTGGATAGCATTAACATTTTGGCACCAATACCAAAAATATTTAGAATTTCCGGTACCCAGCAAAATCTTTCGGAAATTTGGGAATTTCCGGTATACTGGAAATTTTGTCTGCAATTGAAATTTCTGATAACAAAGTTGCAAATTCAAAAATGCTTTCTTTGTGCGGCCCAGAACCAGTAGAGTCATCTACAGATTTGTGTAGCAATTGCACGCAGTTCTTCACCACAAACAATATATGTTTTCTATATAACAAATTAAAACTTAATATTTTCATTGCGTTATATGATATTAGTACTATACTTTCTATGTAATATAAACGAAAGGTGTTTGAGGGCCGAGCTGAAGTATTAGCCTGGGCACGACATATTGTCAAGTAGCATGGTATTATAGTTGTGATTGTTCATTCTGATACTGCAAATGGCCAGCGTGGTGGGAAGGATATATTGATTATAGGTTGTGAGAGAGGAGGAAACTATAAAAGGAAAAATACTTCTGAAAGCAGTAAATCTTCATATGGAATTTATAGTATGAAAGTGAGATGTCATTTTAGGTTGTGATCTTCGCCGAGTGGTATTGGTTGGAAGGTGGTGATTAGGTGTGAGTTTCACAATCATAAACTATCTGAGAATTTAGATGGTCATGACATGTTGGGTCGTCTAAAAGATCATGAAAGACATTTTGTAAATGACATGATGAAGTACAATATGCCTCTACGGTACATAGTTTATGTCTTGAAAGACAAAGATCCAGAAAACCTCATTAGTGTTACCCAAGTGTATATAAAGCTAGAGCTATGTACAATGTGAGCAAGAGAGGTTCATTGACGGAAATGCAAATACTGTTGACTCTTATTCATAAAGAAAAGTATATGTGCTGAACAAGAAATAGGGAAGACTCAAATGTTGTTGTTGATATCTTCTGGACACATCCTGATTCAGTGAAGTTGTTTAATATGTTTCACTTGGTGTTGATTTTTTATTGTACATACAAGACCAATAGGTAATGTGCATCTTGATCATACCTTGATACCATTTTGATATACTTTGATTTATGAGATTTTTTATTATTTGAATCGTGAACATACAGGTACCGGTTACCACTGTTTGAGATTGTTGGCGTTACGTCAACAAAGTTGACGCTTTTGGTAGGGTTTTCCTATTTGGAACATGAAAGGGAGGAGAAATTCACATAGGAACTGGAGAAGCTCAAAAATTTGTTTTCTTTCGAGAAACTGCTACCCAATATTGTTGTGACGGACCGAGAACTTACGTTCATGAATGCAATTCAAGTTATGTTTCCAAATTTAACACATTTGTTATGATTGTTCCATATTACCAAAAATGTTAGCACAAAATTAAGGAGTATGTTAAATCAGAAAGACATAAACATGTCATGGATCTATGGAACAACATCATGTATGCTAATAGAGAAACTAAGTATCTCGCACACTTGAAGCATTATGAGACTGTTTGTGCTGATATACCTTTGTTTGTTAAGTATGTGAGTGAAACATGATTGACACCTTATAAAGAAAGGTTTGTGGCTGCTTGGACTAATAGAGTCACTCATTTAGAGAACACAATAACAAATAGGTACACAAACTTCTTTTCGAAGTTATTGCTATGCATAATTTATCCTGTTGGCTCATTATGGTTTAATTATTGCGATTTAAGGTGGAGTCTGCTCATTGGAGACTGAAAAAAATGTTGACTACAAGCCAGAGATATTTATACCGAAGTTGGAATGTTGTGAACACCATGCTGAAGTTGCATTTAGGTTCAACCAGAGTTTCATTTCAAAAAAGTATTGTCGATATTGAGCATCAGTATAGCACTTCATTCTATACCAACTTGCACGGTTTTGTTTCAAGGAAATGTATGTAGCACATAGGGAATGAGCTAAAAAGGGTAAATTTTGTAGGTACAGGCAAGGATATTTGTGGTTGCTTCATTAGAATTACACATGGGTTACCTTGTGCGTGTCTACTTGCTGGTTTCCAAATACAAGGCTTGCTCGTTCCTTTAGAACTAATTCATATTTTTTGGAAGAAATTACACATTCAAGAGCATGCTAACGGTCATGACGATAGTGGCCCAAAGTTGGATTTAGAAGCAAAATGTGAAAAGTTGAAGACATATTTCAATTTTTTAGATATTGTAGGGCAGAGGGTGTTCAAGAAAAAAACTCAGGAACTAACACATCCAGCCACAACTTCTATGTGTCCAGCGTCGGTGAAGTACAAGCCAAAGAGGGGAGTTAAGAAGAGCAAAAAAGGGTGAAGAGAGTGATGTGCATCATGATCCCTCGTAGTAGGAGTATGGTGAGGGCTCGCAAGAGAGTCAGACTAAAAAGATATCATGCACAAACCCAACAGGAAGTCAACCTTCTAGTATGTCGGGTCAATGTCAACCTTCAAGTATGTCTGGTCAAAGTCAATTGTCCATTGCATCATATAGGCATCTTTACTTGTCTCAGTTTTTTGGTTTCTTACATCCATGCATTGATGACATTGTTGATGCGGGTGACGATGGAAATTGGGGTTTTCTGACTGTTACATCTTGACTTGGATGGGGCGGAGAGTCATAGTCGTTGGTTTGGACGCAGTTGGATATTCAAGTTCATCAACACCCAAAATTGTTTTCCAAATTGTTCTATGACACGGTTGCTGAAGTTAGGAATTCCTTAATAGTGGAACACTTAGGTGTGCATGGTAGAGAAAATGAATGTTGATTCCTGATATGGGTTACCCTATTGTAAGTAGGTATAGTTTCGTCTTTGCCTCCCTGTCATAAAGACTAAACATTAACTTTTTCCCTCTTACCATAACCTCCACATATGTTTACGAGCAGACATAAAATTATTGTTGTTGGTTTTGTCAACGGAAATCATTGTGTTCAGGTAAGTTAAAACCTGAAAGTCTATTACCTCCCGTCACTTACCGTTTGAGGCAGAATTGTACTAAATAAGCATAAGCATGGGAATCAGCATATACAGGACGGATTAGGCACTGGGAGGAAGAACTTAGGAAGTCATCTTAATTTCCTATGTAATCTTGTGGACATATGTATTTATTATATGTGAATGCATTTATGCAGGACGATGTGGCAAAAATATTGAATTTTTTTTTGAAGTTCTTGTTTCATACAGGAAATTTTGATTTTTTTGAAATTTTTGGTGTTCTGGACTGGGCCAAAGGCTGCCCCACTGACGGGCGCGACCCAACCCACTTATTCGTCAGGGAGGACCTAATAAGGGCCTAGCTTATCATGTCACACGGGAATGCTCACGCGTCTCCCCCACGGACTCCACGTGCTCCTAACGCGGGCACATGTCATCAGGCAACTGCCCACCTTTCAAAGATCACGGGGCAGTTGACCCAGGGTGAAGACCACATGTTGGTCTTCCCTTTGCTGCGTAAGCCCTGGTAGTTATTCGTATTAGGCCTAGCGATCCAAGCTAATTCAAAGTAATTTTTGGCTCCGTACTGGGGGCACATTATAAATACCCTATTTCACTAGAGGGTCAGGTATTCCATTCGCAACTAGCTTTCCTATACTTGCTTTCTCTTACTCCATTTCTTACTTTGGCATCGGGGTACCTTATAGGTACACCCCTCCTCTTCTCCACCACCGGAGAATTCAGGAGCTCACAATGTGTTGTTAGCCGCTGATCCTTTTCTGATCCAGTAAGATCAGTGGTGTCGTCTGTGGGAATCTTGCTTCCTCGTTATTTCTCCCAAAGAAATCCAAGAATCAAAGCATACTTCAATCTTCGTTGATCAGGGTTATCCCACACATTGACGACAACATCCATGAAACCGCCTTCACCACTTTCACCAGCGGCGACGATCACGATCACAATGTAACCGTTCACATCGAGGAAGGTGACGCTAGGGACGATCGCACCACCTCTCCCTCCCCCGACGATGTGAACTTCAACGTCGACTGATGCTTCGACAGCTCGGCTGTCTTCTAGCCAATCCCTGTGTCGCCCAACGCCGACTCGACCATGGTTTCTATGTTCGCGGAAATAAATCAGATGAACTTGATGATATTTCAACAGAACAAACGGATCATAATACTGGAAAAGGAGCGACAATCACGCGCTCCCCCACAGAGACATTGTCGCATAGTTTCTCGTAGCCCGTCCCCGCGACGACGAGAAACCCGTCCTTCCCCTCCCCTATGGAGGCTGCAACATGATAAGTCTCGGAGTCCCTCTCCACGACAACCTCAGTGTCATC